CTCTCATCTTTATAAATATAAAGGAAACAAGTTCTGTAAAAGCATTTTAACATTTTTAACATTTGTGAAACAACATAAATAAATATTTTTTTTTTCCAGCATGTCCTGAATCTACACATAAAATGTGCACGTGGCTACCTCTGGGCCTTCCTGGCTCCTTCTCTGTGCACTGCTTATTTTTACCTTTCTCCCAAATGGAGGTGAGATATTTCTACTCACTCTTTTTAATAATATTTCTCCTCTACAGCAGTATAGTTTTAGTTTTTTCAGTTTACTTTCTTGATTGGCAGAACTAGTTTGGCACTTCCAAATAGGTGCAGGCTACAGCCGTAGCTCTTGCAGGAGTTTGAGTCTCCTTTATTTGCTTAGAAGCCTATTTGGCATATGCAGCACAAAACCTGACATTTAGAGAAATCTTTTATGAGCACAGAGATATATCCCTGTTTCTGGATAGGTGACTTAATATTTGATTTGTAAACACTTTTGGAGAGTTGCACTTCACGAGCACATTAAACCCATCCCTTGTGAGATACAAATACCTTAACTTACAGCTGCAGAATATATTCCCCAGCTGGCTGTCATGAGGTAACGAGGAGTTTTGCTGCATGATCAAACACAAGTTTAAAACTCAAAGCATTCGAGATGCTTATCGTTATTGTCCTGCAAATGGTAAGAAAAGCCTTCCTACCATCCAAACACCAGCCACCTGAGGAACCCTTTTAGCTGAGCTGTCAGCTCATGGTGCACAAGCACCTGGTGGGTTTTGCTGAAAATCCCATCCCGAACTCTTCCCATTGCGGCCTACTTACCTGGAAACAGTTGGGACGGCTGCGCCAAAGCCAGTGCAGAAGGACACAAAAACTGCATTGGCAAATGATCTGTCAAGTGACCCGTGAACAAAATCGAGATTGAGTTGCCCTTTGAAATAAACCTATTTGAATTTTATTATCTGCCGAGCACCTTGTGTCTCTAATCTTGTGAAAGGTTAGTATTCCATCCATCAGCACGAGATTAGGGCTCCAGCCGACGTCGGTGCTTGACAATAACTGACTGCAGCGGTTGGGGCTGGAGCAAGAAGATTCATTCCCGTCAGCAGTTCAAAGCGAGAGTGGGTAAACAGACACGCAGGGAAGCAGCCTCACAATACAGACCACATATATTGCAGGGCAGGACAGCCAAAATCAAAGGACCAGAGTGTCAGCACAGATTTAAACCTTTTAACAACAATCCGAGTAAGGCAATGCTGGCTTAAGCCCATCCTTTTTTTCCTTTTTTTTTTTTCCTTTTCTCTTTTTAATCACTTTCTGTGTGTATATTGTCGAGCAAAAGTTAAGACTAAAACAATAAATGTTGGGGAAAAAAAAGCCTCCAGGGCTCATGATCAGATTAATGTCCCCCTGATACAACAGTATGCATACACAGAAGTGAAGAATTCAGACTCTGTGATGGTAAAAAAAAATAATGTGCTATTTTCATTAATTCACAAGTTCTCTCTCTGCTACCTCAGGTAAAAATAGTTTCTAATGCGTTGTGTCTTTTTTAAAACATACCTGACACTTTGCAAAAAAGCTTTACTGATCAGGCATAATGTTTTTCTCATACCCTTGTTTGCCTGAACTTTCTAAATTTCGTATTATGGTCTGCATTATATATGTGATTAAGTTATTAACAGTGGTGACTTTGTTTCTGATTTTTAAAACAGGGTCATGATTCACTTTTTCAGTGTTCTATAGTGATATCAGCTCTAACACTACTCATTGCTTCAAGAATATAGAATTAATCCAAAGGATTAAAATATATGTACATTTTTCTAATCCTCCAGTTCCTCCTGATGGATCTGGATTTGTGCCTCTGGCTTTTCCATTCATCCAAAGCAGCCCATGTATTTATGGTCTCACATTTGGCTTTGAAGGATAACAAGCAGCCCTTTGGAGCTGATGGCAGTGTATCAGTCAGCAGCAAAATAACATGCGACTGAAATTTTTATTTGCTGTCAAACTTCATAACATCACAAAGGAAAAAATTGAGGGTAGATCTGAGGTTTTCCAGAGGCAGAGGTATTTTATAACAGTAGAAATGGTTGTGTGCAAGGTAGGAATCAGTTTACCTCTTAAGTACTAGCAACAGCTTAGTCAGGGGTTTTTTGTTTGTTTTCTTTTGTTTTGTTTTTTTTTTATGTAAAACACAGTGCCAAAATAAATTGCAATTTACAATAGATTGAACTGGTGCTCAGCATGTAGGAAATCATGATTTTCGGCTATGACAGAGTAGATCAGATCCTGCCGGTGGATTGTACAGGCTTTTATGGTGCCTTCACAGAATCAGCAAAGCTATAAAGAAGAGAACAATTTTAAAGAAAAAATAGTTACCAACAACAATGAATAATTCTAATGTCCTATGAAATATTTCAGTTTAGATCTTGATGGTTCTTTGTACTCAACAGAAATGCTTTTCAGTACCTTCTGCAGTTCCATCTTCTGTTACTTAACTAATTTTTACTGCAATAAGAGACTTGCAAATAAACTATACATGAGTATGTAATGTTAATTACACTGTTTCGTGACTAATGATGGCTTGTGTGAAACACTATCTATTGGAATTAGCTTGACATTAAGCATAAAAATTGCAATCGAAATATGCCACATGTACACATTATGCACAGTTCTGAGTGAACATGTGGTCTATACAAGAGAGGAACATGTGACTAATAAAATAATGATTTTTCAATGGAAGAGGAGAATAAGTGGATGTGGAACTTCCTACATGCTGGATTGAATGAACAATATAATTTAATGCAAAACTCTAATATTAAAATTACTTCATGGGAACATATTTTTAATTATACGGTCTGTAAATGCTGAGGCACTTAGAGTATAAGACTACCTAGACTACATAAAATTATAATGTACTGATGATGTCTCTTATTATGCAAAACGAGCAGCGTAATTAGTGTCATCTAAAATGTAACATACCTCATTTTTGCATTTTTCACAAGTTAGCATTGTTTTAGTGTGAGTCCAAATGTCTTTCAACAATTATTTTGATTCTCACTCAAGTAAGTATGTTGTGTCAATTGAATCCAGAAGGTGCATTCTTTCTTGTGAGATTTCTTTTCAAAGAAATCTCTTCCTTGACAGCTGCAGTGAGGTATCTTTACCTTATGGTGCCATATGTTGAACAATTCTCCCAGGTGAGTAAGTATATATGTGTTTGGAAACATAAATAAAGATGACCAAAAGTCAAAATAATCTCTTTTTGGAAGTTTACACTTTGCTATCTCAGCAGACAGATGAAGACTTTATACTCTCACAGCAATAAAACTCATGCTTATGTGTATATTAAACCAAATACTAGCAGTGATGCAGTCCAGTTGATATGAAGAGATGGGCTCCTGTGGTGCAGGAACTGAGGTTTACGTTTTAAAGCCTGTGTTGGACATCTGATGTGAATCATTCCTCCTCTCCCCACTAACTACATAAAAGGAGAGCTCAAGCAAGACTCCACACTGGGATTCTTCATGTTTGGAGGGAAGCGCAGTCGGGAGTACAGATCTCCCTACAGTTTGACAAAAGGGACTATCTGGGGGACTGTTCTTCTGTGAGTGTATTCACAGCTGATGGTTTCAATGGTATTGAGAGATCGTACTGGAGGAAACTCTGGAAACTCTTCTCATTTTCTGCCTTCTACTCAGTTGCCATTTTTTTTTTCTCTTCTATCTTCTTTCCCACTCTTTTCCTCTCTCCAGCTTTCACTTTCCTGTTTCACCTGTACTGCCTCTTTTGCACTTGTTTATCCTCCCTCATTTGAAAGGTTCTGCTGCATCATAGTGCAGGAAAAAAGTATAAGGGATCTTGTCAGTGTGGGTCAATCAGACCTTGTCAAAACATGCTGCTTAGGAGAACAGCAGGATCACATCTTATAGTGATGTCTCTCCGAGATGGGAAAATTTACATGGGAAGAACAGTCAGCAGGAGTTTCAGCTTAGATGTGACACAGTGTTAATATTACCCATTTTACAGAATTGAGAGTTCGGAAGTCCATAGAAACTACTGTCAAAAAAAAAAAAAAAAAAACAGCAATCAGGTCTCACAGTTCTTATGTAACTGCATCACTTCTCTTCAACAAAGGACCACAGCAAGAAGTAAAAGTTACTGCTTATTTGGTTAGAGAATCCCCACCTTCTGGGTTCACTGAAATATTTTTGTCATCACATCCAAAAGATTCAGCACCTAATCAGCAGAACCGCATAGAAACACAAAGTCTTTGATATCACACATACTCATTAAGATGGAAACATCTCATGGAACACAGCACCTGATTAATGGGAACAAGCAGTAAACGTGTCCTAGTTCAATTGAAGAGAAAGTAGATTATACTGCTTTAAATCTAATATAACCATAAATATATGCTAATCTTGCTAGGACAGTTTTCCAGTTCATGGTATCATATTTAACTTTTAAGCTTCCTTATGACCGGAAAACTTATTCAATAGTCATAGTTTTAGGAAGGAAAAAAAAAATTCTATCGAGATATAGCTGGTCAGATAAAACTAAATCAGACAGCAGCCCAACACAGTGAACTGGAGTCTGTTGAAGAAGATTGGTGTTGACATTAAAGCTATTCAGTCACAAACTTTGTTTTCTAACCCCTGAGCTTTGAAACATCAAGGTAGGAAGGACTACTGACTTTACAATTTTCCACCACCACTATGTGAAATGTAGATCCAGGATCTGAAAGTGAGACTGTTTTCTTCAAAAGCTGTAGATCTCTCTGTACAATCACACCTTGTTTGAAGTCAGGTGTGTTATCCTTATGGTTCACTATGGTTTTATACATTGCCTTTTTAAAAAATTCCTCACATCCAATGTCTAAAACCACTGTCTTTTCATAAAATTCATACTATTACCTTAGGAAAAACTGCAAAACTTCCTATATAACAAGCTGAAAACATTTGAGCTGACTTCTTGACATTTAAGTTAACTTTTTCGATTTTGCAATAGGAAAAGAAAGCTGGTTGTTACAATGAAGTTTGACAGTGTAGCTCAATTTATAGGTAAGAAATCCAATGATACCTCTGTATGGCAGTAACAAATAGTATTGATGTTTGTTGGGGAAAGCTCAGTAATCCAAAAGCTAAGAGGCAACTAGGGAATCAGCCTGGCCTTAAGGGGGCACGGAACTCCTTCAGGTGAGAGTATGGAGAAATGGGATATGCTCAAAAGTAATACATCCTTATCTTGGACGTCTTTTTATTTTTTCTCTCAGCAGAGTTAAACCATAACAGAAACTATTATTTGCATTCAGACGTCTCTCAAAAAACATCAATATGACTTCATTACCTTTTAAGCTAAGGACTTATATACAAAATTGATTTTATGTATATAATAATTTCAGTGGGAAGCTAAATGCTGAACTGCTTTTACAGCAGGTTTCTATTGGTTAGTTCAAATAGAAATCTCTGCATTTACTATAATGTGATCTGTAGCGAGTCTGACATGTTAGAGTATTTTTGAGCTAATATGCTGTTTTTTAATAAATACTAAAATGAGCTTGTTTCAAAGAGATGGAAAATTGAAATGAAATGAGAAGGAGAACTGCAATGTATTTACAGCAGTTATAAAATAAATATTAGTAACTTTGAAGGTCTTTCTTAACTCTCTGTACTTGCAAGTTTGACTTGAAAGTAGTTGCAATTCTCATTTTAAATGGGTAATGATGTGCCTCAGCCTGCACTGCTGGCTACATGTCTTTCCTTGGTGGCATGCAGCAACTGCACTTCCTACTGGGTACTTTGCCCTAATAGCTGTGATTGAGTAGCTGCTTTCAGAAAATACCCCCTTCTGGCTTGTGAGCTGAGACACCAGAGCATGTAGTTGCAATATGAATTTCAGCCTTTGAAGCCAAATAGGGCCCATGACCAGGTTTTTTCCTTCCTCAGTGACAGCTCTTCAAAGCAATCTATTATGTTTGAAAAGGGAGCAAAAAACCACTATTTTAAAGGAAGGAAAGGAGGAAGTTCTCTGCAGTGCTCATACCTGCCTAATTCCAGGCTGAGATTTCTGCCTCTGAATCGCTGTTCCAAAGTCTTGCTGTTGTCAGGTGGCAAAAAAATCCCTAATTGTAAAAGACAGAGAACATTTCGGTGTTCTCCACAGGCCATTTAGAGCCTCCTTCCACACTAATGAATCCTTCTCTTACTCAATTAATGCCATCTATTCAGTGGATAGGCATCAAGGCATCCAACTTGGTGCTACATTTCTTCCCAACAGCACATTGCCTGGCTTCTGAACACTGTGATTTTGAATCAGTTGCAAAAACTGCTCTCGTTGCAGTGTGCTTGTCAAAAAAGTACCTATTTTTTCTTCTTCCTCAGAATAAAAGTTGTTCTGGCTTAGATCAGTTTTATCTAGCTTGCTCCAGTGTGAATGAATGTGGACTTCTGGTCTACGTTGCACCTCCCAGTACTAAGATACCACAAACTTCTGGAAAGTCTAGAAGATCTGCTGTAAATTATAAGCATGGCAAAGAATTTTCATACAAAATGTTAGATGGTAAATCTCTTTAACTATTGAAGTGGATATTTAATAGCCTCTAGTGGTGTATAGGGGAAAACAGAACAGGCTCTGTATTTTAAAACAATTGTTGCCATAAGTCTTATAGTTTATATATTGATAATATCATTTTCATGAAAGCTTTAAATGTTTTCCAGAAGAAAATGTGGTGACTCATGAATTTTTCATGAGGCATTACACATTTTTATGAACATATGATGTAAAATTCATCACTTTGAAATTCAGAGATACCCATGAAATGTTACGTGCCTGTTTTGGTCATGGATGTTCATGGCAGTAGTACTGCTGTTGGCATCTAAATGTCCATTCATACATTTTCTAGAATGTGGCCTTCTGATGCCCTGTAACATTTTGCTTGCATTTTATGAGTACTTCACTTAGGGATTTTCCACTTGATAATGAAAGTAGAAGCTTCAGGTATAGTTATTAGTATATATATAAATTATGTGAAAAGCTATCTCATTGTCTTGTTTTTATTCCTAGCATTTTCTTTCTCTCCTATTACTGCAAATCTTATTAATTCTATAAGAGGATCTTGGGAATTTCAGGTTCCATATTTATTATGGAGACTACACCATTGTTACAAATAAAAAGGTGCAACATAACATGAATTAATATTTTAGAGAACAATAAATATTTCAGAAAAGTATATTTAATAGTGTATTTAATAATTTTCAAGAAAAACTCTCCATGCTTGTTTAAAAATTAGCACCCACCAGCAGGAAGCCTAGACTGTACTGGAGAATTACATGCATGCTTTGGGTGGTCGCAGTCAGTGAAGGAGGAAATAACCATGCCACCATGAACAGAGTTTTCCTCAAATTCTGATGAAAAATCCTATGTATGTGTGTGTGTATATATATATCTATATAAGTTCTGCAGAGCTTTGTGTGACGCTGCTATATTCTCTCAGGTAGGAGTTAGACTGCATGTCACAGGCACTAGATGCATCAAGATACAACCACCTCAGGTTCCACTGAGAAAGCTGAACCAAATATAAGGCGAATGAATGAAATTGGCTCTTAGTCTTTCTTGGCATAAATACTGTGCGTATCTGCTTGTTTTAGGGAATCAGATGACAACTATTTCCAGCTTTGTATTTTGCCTTATGCTCACATGTTGGTTTTGCTGAAATTACAGACATAATAGAAAATGAAGGGAACTTAGCAGGGCAGGAAACATCATAAAATATCCGCTCCAATATAATACAAATTTATTTTCCTAATAATTGTCTCTAGACAGTAGTTATTACACTGTGTCAAAAGCAGTTATTACATCATGTCATGCTGTAATTTTATCCCCAGTCCTGATCCACTGACATGTGATGACAACTAGTTGTCTCTTTGGAATTAGGTTAGCTCTCAGGTTGAATTAAATTATCACACTAGATTACCTGTGTTAAAATAGAGTGAGAAAGTCAGCATTCAGTTGAGAAGGAAGTGTGAGAGCTAACAAAGTCTTATTTTAATCTGAGAGAAACACCTACAATTCAATATAATCCTCTAAGCAATACATATCCTTTTTCTTTGCAAATGTGTTGTCTGATGACAGACAAAATGTTTATTAACAACTCAAAATTCATCTACAGAGACGTGCTATTAAGAATCTGACATCCTAAATTTACAAATAATATCAAAAAATAGAAACTATCTATCTGAAGTGATGTGCATTGACTGTAAACCCACCATTTAAGCCTATATTGAGCATGTAATAGTTTCAAATAGTAATCTTCTTTTCCTCTTTTCAGTTCTATGTATAGTGGTGTGCCTTAGACTATTCTTTTGAACTACCTCATAAGCACAATTAAACTGGCTTGCTGATGATCCTCTGGCTAACAAATGAAAGCTATATAAAAATATGTGTGCAGCATAAGACATACCCAGGGCATACTCTGACATATGACTGAATACCGTATAAAATTAGGCAAAAATATTTTCAGCATTAGTATTGCTCGAGACAGCTTTTTTTGGCAGCATTTTTTTTCCCCAAGATATATATTTTAAAACACTGCACGGTTCTCGCTTACATAGATTCTCCTCTTCCACCCTCGCTCTTGAGTGCCTTCCAGGAGCACATTAAGCAACATGATTAATGTCTGTCTCATCTTCGTTCTTCTACTTCTAGCTGAAATATTACATTATTTTTCAAAAGGCATCTGCAGGTTGATGAAATATGATCTTTGCAATGGGCATAAAGTCTTTAAATTACTGTGAAGACTATGGAAAAATTCAACCTTTGCAGAAGGAAGTACTGTTTCTCTTGATATGACTGGACAAGGGCCCAACCATGCCAGGACAGTCTGTGTATATGAGCAGAGCGAAGCAGGCTATCCTCTTGATGTAGGCTGCTTTCCTGACTGAAAAAGCGAGTGATCTTTCACAGCAGCGTTCATTTTGCTGAACAGGATTTGATTTTTTTTCCCAACTAATTAATGCAACATGAGAGCTCTTTTTCTCTTTGAAACTGAAACAGGTGTCCAATTTTGTAGTTGTTGCTGCTTTATTAACCTAATCCTGCAGAGGGTTACTGATGCGGTAACTGTCTTAAAGTACTGCCTGTTGTATCAAAGCATGCAGAAGAATAAAGGTCTAACTTTTAATGGTATAACACCTTATTCTAAGCAATAGCTTTCAAAGACTGGAGACCTAAGAGAAACTAAAAATTAACTGCTATTCAGAAGATGCCAATTTTTCCACAGCTAATCATATGTCTGGTGTCACATTTGGCCTAATATGACATTCAAGCTTTTATTGCTACTGGTAATGTCTATATTGCAATATATTTAAGATTGCAACCAGCTCAGGGCACATTGTGCTAGATGCTGTACAAGCATAGAATAAATGACTATTCCAGCCTAGAAAGTTTGGGTGGTTTCCAACAGACTGACTATGAGATTGCAAAATAATACCCCTACACAAAGAAATAACAGGCTAACAATCTCAGACCAGAGGAGCTGTCAGCCAACTCTTTATGCCACTGATTTATACAATGGCATAATCTTTTAAGATAAATAGTGGGATTTCCAGTATGGCTCTAGATTGGGAGGAGTGACCATTTGATTTGCTTACAGCAACCTCTTAATGTACAGAACCTCATGTGAGAGGACTGAGGGGCCTGGATTCACTAGTTTTATGGTTGCTTTTCACAGCTGTCATTCAATTGCACTGGGTTCGACTGCCAGACCTCAGTCCTAAAACAGGTTGTCTGACATGCGTTTGTCTTACAGACTGTGTGAATGTAGTGCCAGATGTATTCAACCACAGAGCCAGTATACACCACTTCTTACGAGAAGAAATGTTGAATGCATAAAATAATAATCAGGATGATTTGGATATCAAGGATCCCATCATATCAGAAATAGAGTTTTTTTTTTTTTTTCTCTCTCAAACTGCTTTATGGAATGCATGGATAATTTGGGGGGAAAAAAGAAGAAAAAAAAATCAACAGAAAATGTATACAGTATACTGTATGTTGTGGATCTCAAGTTATTCTTCTTGATAATGAAAGTATTTTTGTTTGTTTGTCTTCCAAAATGAGAAGAGCTGTAGTTTTAATGACAGTTTAGACATTGATACATTTCTTAGAATATATTTTCCCTTTAATAAGCACTTTGATGTACCAAATGTATTCTCAGTGTTGTGTGCATGCATTGTCATTATAACCCCTTTGCAGTTATCTAGGAGATCAAAGGCAGTAGC